GACAGATACTATATGTTTTCACTTTTATGTGGATCCTGAGAAACGTAACAGAAGACCAGTGGGGAGGAGAAGGGGGGAAAAAAGTTACAGAGAGGGAAGGAGGCAAACCATAAGAGACTCTTAAAAACTGAGAATAAACTGAGGGTTGATGGGGGGTGGGAGGGAGGGGAAAGTGTGTGATGGGCACTGAGGAGGTCACCTGTTGGGATGAACACTGGCTGTTGTATGGAAACCAATCTGACAAGAAATTTCATATTAAAAAAAAAACAACAACAACAAGTCCAGCTCATCCCTGTCTCCAGGTCTCATTCATGGTATTTTCCCCTTACCTAAACTGCCTTTCCTTCTTCTATCCTCCTATATGAATTCTACCCATCCCAAAAAGTCTTGATAATTCCCATCTCAGTCAAGAGATTTTCTTTAACAACTTGATTACCTTCACTTTAAAATACTAATCCAATGCTTTGGTTCTTCTTTATATACTGTCTTTGATTTTTTCTATTATTTTTGTGTATCAGCTTTGCCTCTCCAATTAGACTTTATAGTTTCTGAAGTCTGGGAACATAATGTTTATTAATCAGGAACTTGTTGTCTTAAATAAAGAAGAAAGGCACAAAGAAGAAAGACTACCCTACTTCCTCAATTCCTCTGCTTTTGAAGCACTTTAGAGATGTGATCAAAATTCCTAACAGCCTGTCTGGACACTGAATGATTTATGACAAAGGATTCTTCTCTAATGAAAAGGAATTCTACTTCCTTTGGCAGTATAAACAGGCTTTTGGAAGCAATAGCAGAGACACAGAAAGGAAACAGTGCTTCAGTATTGGCTCTAGTCCTCCAGGAACTGAGAGAATAATAAAGCCTTTCACCCAGTTTCAAATAAGAAATGTTAAGAAGCCCAGCCAGTAAAGGAAAGCTAAACTGAAAGCCTTTTCACTTCTCCTTGTTAGATTTTACTGCTTCAGTTAGGCAAGACTTGGAAGGGTAAGTGTGGGAACTTATCTATAAAATCTTGGTGCTCCACTGGGATAAGACAGATGCAGAATGTATTATTACTGTCTTTAAAATGAATTACATTATAAAGTTTCTGCAATTGACCTAAAAACCAATTAGCCCCCAAGTAGCCTGCAAGTTATTCTATTACATTTTCAGAATTATGACCCTCAAACCATTTGAAATATTCTTGAACATTGGTTCATTTGTTACATATTTATTCTAAAACATAAGCTCCATGGGAGTAGAATTCTATCTACTCATCTGCCTTATTTGCTCCATGTAGCCCAAGTGCTTAGATAAATGCCTGGCACAAAATTAGGAGTTAAGAAATAACTGCTGAAAGAATAAATGATAATGAGAAGCTTTCCAGTGACTCTAAGACTGTGAAGGGCTAACCACATGACTTAGTCCCCAAATACATTTGTTCCTTGCCTCATACAACCTTACCAAGCATGGTGTGTGAAATGGGGAAGGTGATGGTGGGCTGGCCTGTCATCCTCCAGCGGCTACAGAGGTAGGAGAGGTCTGTTCTAAGCATTTCTACTATCATCTTGTTGTCCAGAGCCAGGTAGAACTGTTGCTGGTCTATAAACTGAGAAAAAGAAGGAGAAAAATAACAGCTTAGAATAACTTACTCTTATAACTGTCAATATTTTAAAGTACTCACATATTCACAAAGGTATATAACACATCACAGAGGCAACTATAGTGCCTAATTCTTTCCAAAGAATCTGATAGTCAATTGGTACATATAATTTTTGACATTTTTACAGTGTACTCTAGTTTACAAAGTGTTTTCAAGTACATAATTTTATTTAATTATATAACAAATGAGTGACGGCTTTTCTTTTAATAGATAAAAATAAGGCAGAGACACTAAGTGGATTAACAAAGTCATATGGCTAGCAAATGGCAAGGTCAGAAATAGGATCTAGACAAAAGATCTCTTTTGTCTCTACCTCAGATGCACAATTTCAGATGTAAGACGACAAATGGGGAGCTTAAGCTTTCTTTCCGGAAAATAGTTTCTCCTCCTATACACACATATAATTGGGCTTACTATTATAATGTGGCCAATAACAGGCTAACAATGTGTATAATCATGGCTGAAACAGTACTGATATTTTTGTTTAGAAGAGAATATCAATGTAGAAAGGGCCTCTGCCCAAAACAAAGAGAACACAGTTTAGTAACTAAGTAAAAGAGGTTATATTTTGTTCATAAAGAACAAATAGAATCTTATTTTTAACATTTAAAAGGAGTACTTTTTATTTATTTATTTATTTATTTATTTATTTATTTATTTTTTATTATTATTATTTTTTTATTTATATATGAAATTTATTGTCAAATTGGTTTCCATACAACACCCAGTGCTCATCCCAAAAGGTGCCCTCCTCAATACCCATCACCCACCCTCTCCTCCCTCCCACCCCCCATCAACCCTTAGTTTGTTCTCAGTTCTCAACAGTCTCTTATGCTTTGGCTCTCAAGGAGTACTTTTTAAAAGTACTTCAACATTTATAAAATTCCTAGTCACTGTTTCTGCAACACATAGGACTACTCTTGGTAGCCACAATCACTTGGCATAGCTCTGTGCTACAAGCTCAGTTCAATCCAACTCAACAAATATTTATTGAGCAACTTAATATGTGCAAGGCCCCATGAACTCTGACACCTGTCCTAACTTTGGTAAATGCTTTATTTCTGTACTGTTTGTCTTACTTCCATTCATCTCAGTGCATCTAAATCTTATTCCACTTACCTGTGGAGTGAAGGTAAAGATAGTTTTCCGAATGTCATAGAGTTTTGAAGTTCCAAGGACTCCCATGTGCCTGTAGGGTCGTCCACTAAGTTTCATTCTACTGTTGCATCCTAAGATAGAGTTAAAAAATGCTCAAGATCTTTCTAGGGCACAAATCCAATGAGTAAACATTTTTTTTTGTATTAGATTTACACTTCCTGATACAACAAAGTTCTGTACCTCAAAGTTACTATCTGTATCATGTACAAGTTCATACTAAGTACTTTAGGGATCTCCAAGAGAGAGTATGCATTTATCTATGTTTTTTAAAAATGTTCTTAAATGTTTATTTTTGAGAGACAGAGAGACAGAGCATGAGCAGGGGAGGGGAAGAGAGAGAGGGAGACACAGAATCCGAGGCAGGCTCCAGGCTCTGAGCTGTCAGCACAGAGCCTGACACAGGGCTCAAACCCACAAGTTGTGAGATCATGACCCGAACCAAATTCGGGCGCTTAATCAACTGAGCCACCCAGGCACCCCCATTTATCCCTGTTCTTAAAGAACTGTATGCTCTTATAAAAAAGTCACATAATCTACATGAGAGAAAAGAATGCACATGAAAATTAATAGTTCTATGAATGATAGAATTCTATTACCGATATTCATATGCTGAATTTCCTTAAATCCCATGAAAACTGCAAAAACTATATTGACTACCAAACTTATCAATGTAGACTATGCCTCAGTAAAGCTGAACAAACCCTCATCACCTTAAAGATGGCATACTAAACTGAAAAACTGAAATGAATTTACTTGGACTCCTTCAATTTAATTGACACATTTTAAATTCAATGGAACAACACAACTTATCCAAATAAGTCAAAATATTATTGTGTCTGATAGGAAATCTTGTGGAAACTTATACAAAGAGTAAAATTCATTTGGCAGAGGAGTATTTTTGAAAACTTAAGAAAGGGGAAGACTAGGGGCGCCTGGGTGGCGCAGTCGGTTAAGCGTCCGACTTCAGCCAGGTCACGATCTCGTGGTCCGTGAGTTCGAGCCCCGCGTCAGGCATGGAGCTGATGGCTCGAGCCTGGAGCTGTTCGATTCTGTTGTCTCCCTCTCTCTGCCCTCCCGTTCATGCTCTGTCTCTCTCTGTCCCAAAAATAAATAAAAACGTTGAAAAAAAAATTAAAAAAAAAAGAAAAGAAAAGAAAGGGGAAGACTTGAACTATCAGAAAGCTACAAAAGGTGTAATTTTATTTATTTTTTTAACTTTTAAAATGTTTGTTTATTTATTTTTGAGAGAGAGAAAGAGAGAGAGACACACAGAGAGAATGAATCTCAGTCAGGCTCCATTGCTGACAGCACGGAGCCCGATGTAGGGCTCAAACTCATGAACTGTGAGATCATGACCTGAGCCGAAGTTAGATGCTCAACTGACTGAGCCACCCAGGCACCCCAAGGTGTAGTTTTAGTGAAAATTTATATACAATCTGCACATCTGTCTATAAATATTATGTATATGTGTGTGTATGTATGTATACACACATCCGCTTTATTTCCCTGAGTATGTCTTCTTTTTTATAGTTTAGCATTTTGAAATTAGAATCTGATCGTTTATATCTATGTTACATGTAGTTGAATTTTTTTGTCTCTGAAAAGACAATTATTACATTAATACCTCCTACAATGAGGAAATAGTTCATTTATTCACACACTTTTTCCCTTTTATAATGATAGCACTATACACAAAAAGCTTGTTCTCAACCTCTATTTCTCCAAAATTTATATTAAATATCATTTCATGTCAGTACTGACAGAACTAGTACTACCTTTTTTTTATTGGAACTCATTTTTCTTGGGGATTTTATTTTTGCTCCTGCTTTATCCTAAGTATGAAACTTACCAAATATGCTACCTTTTTAGTGTTGCTTCACTTTTAGGGACAGAACTAGAGAGCTGTCAATGCGTTGGTCATATTCCAGGATTCATTCTGGAAAGTACACATTTAACTGACATTGATATCACAACCAGGTTTATCCACTGTTTCTTCCTTTTTTTTTTCTTTTTTATTGTAGTAAAAAATATACATAACCTAAAATTTACCATTTTAACCATTTTTAATTGTTCAGTGGTATTAAGCACATTCACAATGTTGTGCAACTATCACCACCGCCCATCTTCACAACTTTTCCATCTTCCCAAACTGAAACTGTGCCCATTAAACAATAACTTCCCATGTTCTCCTCTTGCCAGTCCCTGGAAATCATCACTATTTCTGTCTCTATAAATTTGCTTACGCTTGGTACCTCATATATATGGAATCATACAATATTTGTTGTTTTGTGACTGGTTTATTCCACTTGGAATAATGTCTTCAAGGTTCATCCATTTTGTACTGTGTCAGAATTTTATTCTTTTTCAAGGCTGAAAAATTTTCCATTGTATATACACATCACATTAGTTTATCTTTTCATCCATCAATGGCCATTAGAGTATTTTCATTGGTAATTTCTTATAGTATAATATACATAATATACATGAAGTAAGTATGCTAATCTTAAATGTAAAAATTGATACAATTTTACATAGTAAACACACAACTCAAATCAATATATGGAACATTATCAGCACTGCAGAAGCCTCCCTTGTGCCTCTTCCCGGTTATTAACATCCCCCAGCTCCCAAAATTAACCACCATTCAAACTTCAATCACCATAAATAAGTAGTCCATTTTTTAGCTTTATATTAATAAAATCATACAATATGTATTTTTTTGCATCTTGTTTTTTCACTCAACAATATGTCTATGAGATTCATCCATACGATGTATGTAGAATTAGTTCATTTGTTTTCATTGCTGTATAATAGCCCAGTGTATGGATGTATCATTTAACCATTCACTTGTTGATGGACATTTGAGATTTCCCGCATCCCATCCAGTTTTTTGTTATTATAAATAAAGCTCCTATGAATATTCTTGTTGTGTTGGAGGTCCCATAGATTATCTCCAGGTTTGGTGATTCACTAGGATTCCTAGAACTCACTGTATAGCTGTATTAATGGCTAAGGTTTATTAAATCAAAATGACACAAAGCAAAACGGCAAAGAAAAAAGGCACATGGTGCAAAGTCCAGAGGAAGCAAGCTTCTAAGATTCCTCTCCCAGAGCAGTCACATAGCAAATGCATAATTCCTCCAGCATCAAAATATGACAACACATGTGAAATGTTGTCTACCAAGGATGTTCATTTGAGACTCGATGTTTTTATTAGTGGTTGGTCACACAGGCACTCTCTGCACAGTACATACCCAAACTCCAGACTCTCAAAAGGAAAACAGATATTCAGCATAAGCCATACTGTTTGTATAGTTTAGACACGCAGTAAACCACTGTTACCCTTAAGAGGATGGTGGACCCTCTTAAAATCCAGGTCTTCAAATGCCATCCAAGGGCCAAACTTACAAGCAGTTCTTTCTTGTTTTTTAAGACTTTTTTTGGGTAATCTTTATTTATTTTTGAGAGAGAGACAGACTGCGAGTGGGGGAGGAACATAGAGAGAGGGAGACATAGAATCTGAAGCAGGCTCCAGGCTCTGAGCTGTTAGCACAAAGCCCGATGCAGGGCTCAAACTCATGAACAATGAGATCATGACCTGAGCTGAAGTCAGACACTTAACTGACTGAGCCACCCAGACACCCCACAAGCAGTTTTTTCTAAGAATTGCATTCTCAGGACTGTCACGTGAACTCTTGTACTGCACAGTCCACCCCATTGGCTTTTGGCCAAGGTGTCTTTGTGAGTAGGTTCCCATGCAGCAAAGTAAGCCCAACCTGTAGTGTAATCCTCAGTTATGCCCTCAGGGGTCTTAGATTTAGCCAGAAAGAACCTAACATTATTATAATTATGTCTCTTCAACAGCCAGGTAACTTCCTCAAGTTTCTGTATTAACCTTTTTTTTATCTGGCTTGAGGGATCAGTCCAAGCACAGCACCAGCCTGGCCTGTATATTGATGCCGACCTAAATTCCAGGATAGTCAGGGTTCACACACAAGTATAATTCCAGAAGGCATATGCAGTACTCTTGGACAAAAAGAGTTTACAAATGTTAGGGCATCACATACATTAATCAGACAGTGTAGGTTAACATGATCTCCAGTGGGGTCTCCCAGTGCAGGCCTCCTATTCTAGAGTTTCCAGTCCAGTACAAAAAGTTCAGTTCATTCTTTGATTTCAATGGGAGTGTCTCCTGAAGGAAACTGGATCCAAACAGTTTTGTTTCTTCATGACATCAGCTAATCTGCTTTGTGAGTATGGATGACATTGGGAGGTGTTCTGTATAGAAGGTGTGGGAGCTGTGGCCACATCCTGCTATCTCCTAGTCAGTTCAGTCAGATGTGACCTTAGACTCAGCAGTCAGTTTGAATTCAAAGCACTCTTGGCAGCAGGTAAGACAACATGTGGTTTTATTAGGGAGGAGAGGAATATTTCCAGGTATAGTCCTAAAAATCAAAGATGATTAATGCCCTTCTCCTTTACCCATGCCTCCCCAGGTGTCAGGATTTTGTTTTTTCTCTACTGTCACAAAACCTGTGTGTCTGAATTAGCAACCAGAATTTTATAATATTCTCTTCCTTCCATTCCAATCTTTTATCTGGAAGAGTTGTATACAAGTTTAAGAGTATTTTCATAGGCAAACATTATTATACAGTTTAACCAGAAAGACGTATCATGTCCAGGAATTGGTCAAGACGAAATTCTGAATTTTCAAATAATTAAAAAATGGGTTTTTGTACTTCTTACCACTTTTGTCCCAATAATTTATCCAATAAGCAGCTTAGAAAAGATCACTCTCTTTCTGGGGACAGCTGCATTTAATAAGCAAATTGCCTTACTAAGGCTTGCGCATCAGGAGAAAGGTGAGGGCAGTGGAGTTATCAATACATTTTTGTAAACTGGCACTAATCTGGAAAGCCAAACAGAACCACCAAGTCCCAAGGAGGGTTCAAGATTCCAATTTGTCAGGAGTGGGGGAGGGATCACATTTCCTCTGATGTGCTCTCCCCCAATTTGTAGCTTTTGCAGAAATCAGAAGAATACACTTTCTGTATCAGACATATAGAACCAA